GTTGGACAGTTTAAATTTCAAAATGTTTTCTCATCCAATTGATGCTTGACTACAAAGAAAGTGTCAAACAACGTGTTAAAAATTAGTGTACAAATAGCAAAGTTTAATTGGTAACACCTTGCTACATGTACACTATGGTGTACACTTTAGTTTACACTTTGCCACGTGATATTACCTTGTTGGACAATTTAAATTTCGATCAATTTTTCCATCCAATTGACACTTGACAACAATGAAAGTGTCGAACAACGTGTCAAAAATTAGTGTATAAATAGCAATTTTCCCATCCAATTATGACTTGACAGCAATGCAAATATCAAACAACGTGTCAAAAATTAGTGTATAAATAGCAAAGTTCAATCGGTAAGAACCTTGCTACATGTATACTATGGTGTAAACTTTAGTTTACACTTTGCCATGGGACATTACGCTGCTGGACAGTTTAAATTTCAAAAAGTTTTCCCATCCAATTGACACTCGACAACAGTGTAAGTGTCAAACAACGTGTCAAGAATCATTGTACAAATAGCATATTTCAATCGGTAAGGACTTTGCAACATGTACACTATGGTGTAAACTTTAGTTTAAACTTCAGCACGTGACATTTCCTTGTTGCACAATTTAAATTTCAAGCAGTTTTCCCATCCAACCGACACGTGACAACAATTCAAGTATCAAACAACGTGTCCAAAATCAGTGTAGAAATAGTAAAGTTCAATCGGTAAGAACCATGCTACATGTATAGTATGGTGTACACTTTAGTTTACACTTTACCACGTGATGTTACCCCGTTAGACAATTTAAAATTCAAAAAGTTTTCTCATCGAATTGATGCTTGACCACAAAGAAAGTGTCAAATAACGTGTGAAAAATTAGTGTACAAATAGCAAAGTTCAATCGGTAAGGACCTTGCTAAATGTACACTATGTTGCACACTTTAGTTTACACTTTGCCACGGGACATTACCTAGCTAGACAGTTTAAATTTCAAACAGTTTTCCCGTCTAATTGACACTCGACAACAATGTAAGTGTTGTCAAAAATAAGTGTACAAATAGCAATGTTCAATCGGTAACGACCTTGCTATATGTATATTATGGTGTACACTTTAGTTTACACTTTACCACGTGACATTACCCAGTTGGACTGTTTAAATTTTAAATAGTTTTCCATCCAATTGACACTTGACAACAATTCAAGTGTCAAACAACGTGTCGAAAATCAGTTTACAAATAGCAATTTTTCCATCCAATTGAGACTTGACAACAATGCAAGTGTCAAACAACGTGTCAAAAATCAGTGTACAAATAGTAAAGTTCAATCGGTAAGAACCTTGCTACAAGTACACTATGGTGTACACATTAGTTTACTCTTTGCCACGTGACATTATCCTGTTGGACAGTTTAAATTTTAAACAGTTTTCCCATCCAGTTGACACTCAACAACAATGCAAGTGTTAAACAACATGTCAAAAATCAGTGTAGAAATAATTCAATCGATAAGGACCTTGCTACAAGTACATTATGGTGTACACTTTAGTTTACAATTTACCACGTGACATTACCCTGTTGGGCAGTTTAAATCAGTTTTCGCTTCCAATTGACACTTGACAAAAATTCAAGCGTCAAACAACGTGTCCAAAATCAGTGTACAAATAGAAAAGTTCAAGTGGTAAGAATCTTGTTACATGTTGTAATACTCCGAAAATTTTATGCTCGTTTAAATTTCTTTGGGATAGCGATTTAACTTTCAATACTATTTGTGGCCATAAGGTAAAAGGGGACACCACCTTTGTAGTGGTTAATGTTAGAGGTAGTTAATGAATGTAGGCATGAAGTGTCAAAGGTTGTGTATGTATGAAGTGATTATTAGTTAGTCGAAACTTAAGGCAAGTTTGGATTTAAATGAAGTGGATTATTTTGTTAGGACTTCAATTGACCAAATGATTAAATTATGTTACAATCTACAATTTTTGAATATGTAAGTTGGGTATAAGTTTAAATTTGGGGTATACTTTGTTAACAATGAAAGTTAGCGGGTTTAGATTATATTAGTTGAAAAGATGAGAGGTTTCCTTTGTAAATCTAGGTTTGAGGCCACTTATTACCCTATAATCAACTCACTTGGCATTTTTCATCACCATACACTTAGACAATAGGCTAAACATGTGTAGAAACAAGAAAAAAAAATGGAAGGATAAAGTGGTGAGGCGGTGGAGAAGGGAAAGAAAAAAAATATATGTATCAAGCCTTATCCTTATCTTTATATATATATAAATACATCCATATCCATTGCCATAGAAAGATTTCCTTCATTTTACAAAACACTTATACACTAAAAAAGAGAGCAAAAACCGAAAATAAGAAAGAAAAGGGAAGGAAGTAAGACTAGCACTTCCAATTTACATCTCAATCGAAGATCTTCAAGTTTTACGGTAAGATACTTTCCATACTTAAGGGGTATGATTTCATGGTAATATTTATGCTTAAACTATGAATGAAAAACCATAATATGATTATGGTGGACAAGTCCACAAAGTTAGATATCTATTTATGCCTTAGGACAAGTCCGAAGGGCACCGGCAAGCCGGAATGTGCAAGTATGGGTTTGATTGCATTCTTTTGTGTAGTATTATCATGATAAAAAATCCAAGCATGGTATCTTACTAAGTATTTCTTATACTCATAGTATGTTATGCCAAATTTTCAGATCCATGATCGGTGAATTGATGGAAGTTAGTTGGCTTAAGCAATGATGGATTAAGGACAGATGTTTTGAACCGAAAGTTTTTCTTTTGTATATTTTGCTCGATGTTCCATTTTTTTTTATGGTACTATGTAAAAATATGTGCATGACATGATGTAATATGGTATTAATATTAAATTTTGTAATTATATCTTTCATGTTATGTTAAGAGACGTTTTTATAGTTTATTTTACTTGCAAGTGATAGAAGGCAGAAACGGGACAGTTTCTGGAGTTATTTTCAAAATGATGTTTCTAACTCTATAAACGTTCATTTGAGACTCTAAACATATGTCTGTTTTCCTATTTGAGTTTTCTAAATATGGCCGAAGGAATTACTCAATTTAGATATCTATGGCCTGAGTTATCAAGGTTTTAACGTCAAGAGGTCAATCTGGATTTCCTGTGTAATACTTCACTGTTTTCAGTAAAACATCTATATCATATGATCTTGGAAAATTTTAATATTTTAACCTAGAAAACTACTTGAAATTATCTTTCTAATGCCACAAATTTCATAGAAAACGGAGTTGGGACGAATTTTATAAAAATTGTCAAACTTGCTGCCCCAACTAATTCTGATAATGCCGAGGCCGTAAATGTAAAGTATAATTTATTGCCGACATGCACTTTTGTCGGCTATCAAATTTTATAAGAATTATTTTACCGAGTTGAAAATAAGTTCTTAACATGAAATACTTCTATTTAAGAGTATTTACATGTACCAAAGGCAGAATCTATTATGTTTAGTACGTGACCCTCGAAGTTTAAGTTCGGGGCGTCACAGCGTGGTATCAGGGCAAGGTTTACTTTTCTGTAGACTTTTTAAAAGAAAGTTACTGTCCTTAATCATCAAAGAAGCTAGCAACTGACTTTCAACCAACGATCAAGGTAAAATTTATTTTTAAATTCATGAGTTTTCTTATGTAATGAACTGTTATATCTATGGCTGGATATGGGAATATTTTGAATTAAGTCGTGGCAGAGATTATGAAGCCATGAATACTTTCACCTAAATATTTATTAGAGCCTTGTAGAGTAACATAATCAATGTTTGTCCTAGTTATGGCACGAATGGTAAGAACCCCCACAAGGACAGAAGCTTGTGGTTTTGCGAAGAAGCGGGACATATTATTGGCATTTTACTATAATTATCGTATGCATCCGCTCCATAGTCTCGAACAACATTTGGATCTGCTAGACTGTATTATTGAGATGTTATGGGAGATACACCATAGCTTAAGGGATAAGGTGAAGATACAGAGGTTATATGAAACTGTTCCAGAACCTTGGGCCTCAGTCATAAATGAGATTGTGCTATGGTCTGATGATGACCTTTCGTATGAGGACCTTACATATTTGCTTCGAGAGAGCTATGGGACTAGCCGTGATTTACAGCGAAACTTTAAGAAGACTATAATCTTATCCATGAACACCAGTTTACGAGCTACCAATTCTAGGCTAGTTAAGGGACCGTTGGCTAAGTGCTTTTCGAGAGTTCTAGATGAAAGTTTTCCCGTACCATTACCAGGTCGTTCGGAGCGAAGTATGTTAGAAGAAGACCAAGAAGAAGACCCAGAGGAAGACCCCGATGGGGATCCAGAAGAAATGGAAGATTAGACACCATTTTACCTAGCTATCTTTATTTTTGGAATAGAATAGGATGTAATATGTACCCTTGCTTTTGAATGTATGTACCATACCTCAACATGGTTTTTGTTTGTGGGAAATAATAATGTATATATATGAAGGAAAGTTGCCTTGGCCTTTGAAATTTTTTTAAAGTATTACGTTCTGAAGTAATTCTAACTGGATGAATATTTTTTTTCATTCAAAGGAAATGCCTCCAAAGAGCAACCATGGCAATGCTAATGCTAGTTCTAGTAGTGGTGAAGTTAATATTGCAAACTTTGCACGAGAACTGCTTGCTGTAATGCGGGAGTTGGGACAGCAACAACAGGCACCACCTTTGACTGGGCAACGAACCTTAAATCAACAAATACCAGTTGACCACCAGGAACCCAACCAACCAACTATTCAACCTCAAATAGTACCTAACTCGAGGGATCGAACTGCAATGATAGAGCAGTTTCGAAAAATGAACCCTCCATCATTTGAAGGGAGTACGGATCCCTTAGTAGTTGAGGATTGGTTATGAGAATTAGAACGCATCTTTAAATTTATAAGATGTGACAATGCTGAAAGGGTAACATTTTCAGTGTTTATATTAAAGAAGGGGGCTAGCCATTGGTGGGACATGACTACTAGGTCATTAACACTTGCTGAAGAACAGACTATAACTTGGGAGAGGTTTAAGGAACTTGTAGAAGAAAAATTCTTCCCGGCAGCTGTGAGAGATCAAAAGGAGATGGAGTTCCTTAGACTTCAGCAGGGAACCATGACCCTCGTGGAGTATGAACGCAAATTTGAGGAATTATCAAGGTTTGCCCCACATCTAGTGGATACTGAGGAAAAGCGGGCCAGAAGATTTGAACGTGGGCTTCAACCTTATATTAGTGACATAGTGTCAGTTCTTGAGCTGGGCACTTATCGAGAAGTCCTAAAGCCAGCCCAGACTATTTCTTATCAAAGAACTCAAAACGTTGGAAATTCTTACCAAGTTCAAAATTTCTCAGGTAAGAGGAAGTGGAACTTTGATAGACAGAATACTGGTAAAGGAAAAGGGAATAATGCACCGAAGAAAGGAAGAACGGATATAGCAGGAGTTAGTGGTGAAAGGCGTTGTCCTAAGTGCGATAGACCTCACAAAGGAGAATGTCTATTGGGTAAAAATGTTTGTTTCAAGTGTGGGAAATCAAGACATTTCGTTAAAGAATGTCTTCAAAATCAAACACAGAAGGCTGGAGAGGACAAGAAGGGAAAAGCAAGAGTTTTCTCCTTATCCAGGCAAGAAGCTGAACGAGACACTAATGTCGTCGCAGGTATCATCTCTGTTTCCAATATTCCTGCATTTGTACTTATAGATTCTGGAGCTACACATTCGTTCATTTCTTCTTCTTTTGTTGCGAAGTCTAAAGTGGAATGTGAATTCCTTCCGTATACTCTGGAAATATCTCTTCCATCTGGAAAGATACTTGTCGCTAACCAAATAGCTAG